GTGGAATCCAATTACAGTTACTTTAACATTCATGGTATAGCTGGTAGGGCATCAGGCTCTGCAGCAGAGGTCACGTATTTGAGCCAAAATACACCTATATTTTTTCTAATATACCCATAAGTTTCAACTTTGTCTTTTTTTTTTTTGTCAGAGCAAGTTTTGTGCCATATTTAAAATTTATTGTATATAGCAAGTCAACTGATGGCTGTTGAAGACTATAGAAACCCATTCTACCTTTCCTAACCAACCATGCTTTTTCTCCTGCCCCTTGGAAAGCTAGGGTAGTAGGGTTGTAGTCAATTACAAATTAACATTCTTCAATTAAGGTTCTTAACTAGGAACAAACTTCATTCTGGTCAAAGGGCTACTAGAAAATACCAAATTAATATTTATGCTGGGCATCCCACGTTTCTCCACACTACTGTACCTTCTTGCTCGTTTAAATTTTTTGTTTTCTGTCCTCAATTTCATTTTATTTTTTGCATTTAATGAACCATTAAATATTCCCTAAACTTTTAATTTCAGATGCAAAATACATGAATGATTGCATGCTGACTAGTATGTTACTTATCATAAATTACATTCTTTGTTTACTTTGTCAAAAATGTTTTTGGTAAATGAATCAAGTAGTCAGTATTGCATAAATATTATAATAAATATATTAGTAATACTTATCAGGGTAAAATAGTCAAATGAATTTCAATTTGATGTTTCACTTCCTTAGGCAATGGCTTATGACCTTCTGGACATTGAAAATGATGTGTACAAATACGAAGCGACCCAGGGGGAGAGCGAGAAGGAGGTTCTGTTGGATGAAAATGATGACTTGTGGCAAGAACTACGCCATCAGCACATTGCTGTTGTTTCACAAAATATCACGAAGAAGACAAAAGGTGAGAGTTATAAAGCATTAATTGCTGAATACATGAATTACAATGAAAGAGGCATTGAGTTGAGAGTGGGCCCTAGTGAGTCGAGTGGAGCAAGTTGGGTAGCTGGCCCCTGTAATGTACAAGATATTAGTGGTGGTGCTGCTGGAGGTCACAAGAGCCTCAATGAGGTTTAAAAGCTGTTTACTAGGTATGACCCTATTCATTTAGTAATTGTTTGCATTACAGTCATAAGATTGTAATGCAAGCAGTTCTTGATTTATGTGGCAGTTCTCTTGTAGTTTGTAGCAATTATCATTTTGTTTACTGCTTCTTTCAAAAGTTTTATGAATTGGCTGTTTTGATCTCTTAAGCTGAATTTAACATTTTGCTTTTATACCTTTGCTTTAAATCTATTTTGTGATTAGTTATAGTATACACACAACTTTGTCATATTGGCTTTGCTCTCTTTCACTTTAATTATTTTTGTCTTTTCTGTTTCCTTTCAATTACCTGATACTGTGTGTGTGTGTGTGTGTATAATTACCCAAGTGTAGTTACAGGATGAGAGCTACGCTTGTGGTGTCCCGTCTTCTCAGCACTGTTATATAACACTTTAAAACTACTGACTGTTTTGGACTCCTCCACCTTCTCACCTAACTTGTGCCAACCGTCTACCACTCTGTTTGCGAAAGTGAATTTTCTTATATTTCTTCGGCATCTGTGTTTAGTTAGTTTAAATCTATGACCTCTTGTTCTTGAAGTTCCAGGGCTCAGGAATTCTTCCCTATCAATTTTAACGATTCCTGTTACTATTTTGTACGTAGTGATCATATCACCTCTTTTTCTTCTGTCTTCTAGTTTTGGCATATTTAATGCCTCTAACCTCTCCTCGTAGTTCTTGCCTTTCAGTTCTGGGAGCCACTTAGTAGCATGTCTTTGCACCTTTTCCAGTTTGTTGATTGTGCTTTTTAAGATATGGGCACCACACAACCACTGCATATTCTAGCTTTGACCTAACAAAAGTCGTGAACAATTTCTTTAGTATTTCTCCATCCATGTATTTAAAAGCAATTCTGAAGTTAGAAAGCGTAGCATAGGCTCCTCGCACAACATTTTTTGTGGTCCTCAGGTGATAGTTTTCTATCTAGAACCACCCCTAAATCTCTTTCGTTATCAGAATTCTTTAAAGATTTCTCACATAATTTATAGGTTGTGTGGGGTTCTTAGTTCTCCTATTCCACATTCCATAACATGGCATTTATTCATATTGAATTCCATTTGCCAAGAGGTGCTCCATATACTTATTTTGTCCACTTCTTCTTGAAGGGCATGGCAATCATCTAAGTTTCTTATCCTTCCTATTATCTTAGCATCATCAGCAAACATGTTCATATAATTCTGTGTTCCATCTGGTAGATCATTTATGTAGACAATGAACATCACCGGTGCAAGAACTGAACCCTGTGGTACTCCACTTGTGACATTTCTCCAGTCTGATACATTGCCTCTGATTGCTGCCCTCATTTTTCTATCAGTCAGAAAATTTTTCATCCATGTTAGAAGGTTGCCTGTCACCCCTCCAATATTTTCCAGTTTCCAGAGCAACCTCTTATGTGGAACTCTGTCGAAAGCCTTTTTTAGGTCCAGATAGATGCAGTCAACCCAACCATCTCTTTCCTGTAAGATCTCTGGCTCGTTCATAGAAACTGAGTAAATTCGATACACAGGATCTTCCAGATCGAAAGCCATACTGTCTGTCTGATATTATATAATTTCTCTCCAGGTGTTCTACCCATTTAGTTTTTATTAGTTTTCCAATATTTTGACTATTACACTTGTCAATGATATGGGTCTATAATTGAGGGGGGTCTTCCCTGTTGCCACTTTTGTAGATTGGAACTATGTTAGCCTTTTTCCACACATCTGCTACGACTCCTGTACACAGGAATGTCTGAAGTGGTATGCTGAGCTCGGCTGCACATTCTCTCAAAGAGAATGTGCAGCCAAATGTGAATGTGGAGCAGTTAGCTCCATCTGGGCCAACTGCTTTGTTCTTACTTAGCTCAAAGAGCATTTGTTTCACTTCGTCTCTAGACACCTCTATATGCTTTATGTTCTTTGGAATTCTTATTGTCTGGTTCTCTGAAGATCTCATTTTGTACAAACACAATTTGGAACTTTTCGTTCAATGTTTCACACATTTCCTTTTAATTTTCCATGTATTTGTCTCCCATTTTCAACCTCTGAATATTATCCTTTACCTGCAGCTTGCTTTTAATGAATTTATAGAAAAGGCCTGGATCTGATTTACATTTGTCTGCTATACCTTTCTCAAATTTCCTGTGCCTCTGTGTACTCAACTAATTGTGCTTGCGGGGGTTGAGCTTTGTCTCTTTGGTCCTGCCTCTCAACTGTCAATCAACTGGTGTACAGATTCCTGAGCCTACTGGGCTCTATCATATCTACATTTGAAACTGTGTATGGAGTCAGCCTCCACCACATCACTTCCTAGTGCATTCCATTTATTAACTACTCTGACACTGACACTGAAAAAATTCTTTCTAGTGTGTGTGTGTGTGTGTGTAATTACCTAAGTGTAGTTACAGGATGAGAGCTACGCTCGTGGTGTCCCGTCTTCCCAGCACTCTTTGTCATATAACGCTTTGAAACTACTGACGGTCTTGGCCTCCACCACCTTCTCACTTAACTTGTTCCAACCGTCTACCACTCTATTTGCGAAGGTGAATTTTCTTATATTTCTTTGGCATCTGTGTTTAGCTAGTTTAAATCTATGACCTCTTGTTCTTGAAGTGCCAGGTCTCAGGAAATCCTCCCTGTCGATTTTATCAATCCCTGTTACTATTTTGTATGTAGTGATCATATCACCTCTTTTTCTTCTGTCTTCTAGTTTTGGCATGTTCAATGCTTCCAACCTCTCCTCGTAGCTCTTGCCCTTCAGTTCTGGGAGCCACTTCGTAGCATGTCTTGGCACCTTTTCCAGTTTGTTGATGTGCTTCTTAAGATATGGGCACCACACAACAACTGCATATTCTAGCTTTGGCCTAACAAAAGTCATGAACAATTTCTTTAGTATATCGCCATCCATGTATTTAAATGCAATTCTGAAGTTAGAAAGCATCGCATAGGCTCCTTGCAGAATATTCTTTATGTGGTCCTCAGGTGATAGTTTTCTATCTAGAACCACCCCTAGATCTCTTTCTTTATCAGAATTCTTTAAAGATTTCTCACATAATATATAGGTTGTATGGGGTCTATGTTCTCCTATTCCACATTCCATAACATGACATTTATTAACATTAAATTCCATTTGCCAGGTGGTGCTCCATATACTTATTTTGTCCAGGTCTTCTTGAAGGGCATGACAATCATCTGAATTTCTTATCCTTCCTATTATCTTAGCATCATCAGCAAACATGTTCATATAATTCTGTATACCAACTGGTAGATCATTTATGTACACAATAAACATCACTGGTGCAAGAACTGAACCCTGTGGTACTCCACTTGTGACATTTCTCCATTCCGATACATTGCCTCTGATTACTGCCCTCATTTTTCTATCAGTCAGAAAATTTTTCATCCATGATAGAAGCTTACCTGTCACCCCTCCAATATTTTCCAGTTTCCAGAACAACCTCTTATGTGGAACTCTGTCGAAAGCCTTTTTTAGGTCCAGATAGATGCAGTCAACCCAACCATCTCTTTCCTGTAATATCTCTGTGGCTCGATCATAGAAACTGAGTAAATTCGATACACAGGATCTTCCAGATCGAAAACCATACTGTCTGTCTGATATTATATAATTTCTCTCCAGGTGTTCTACCCATTTAGTTTTGATTAGCTTTTCCAATACTTTCACTATTACACTTGTCAATGATACAGGTCTATAATGTGAAAGTAAAGGTGTATAAAGGAAAGTAAAGGTGTGTGTGTGTGTGTGTGTGTGTGTTTCCTTGAATATTAATTGTTCTTTTATCTGTAATTATCTCCATTATTCATGTGATGAACATCTTAATTTTCCAAGTGATGTAACTTTGCTGTGTTTTGCAGAGTTCATGGCAACTAAACGCAACATGGGTACAGACAAAGCCTCAATGAAAGACTTGTCTACAATGATAAAGAAAATGCCTCAGTATCAGAAGGAACTTTCTAAATATGCAACTCACATACATTTAGCTGAAAGTTGCATGAAGAAGTACCAAGGATATACTGATAAATTGTGCAAGGTTGAGCAAGACTTGGCTATGGGCACAGATGCTGAAGGTATGCTAAAGTGTGTGTGTAAAGGAAGTGTTCTAATTTTAAGTTTAAATTTAAGTTTAATTCAGGAATTGTTCCTAGTAGGTGTGTTTTTTTTGCAAGTCACCAATAATATGTATTTCTTATTTAGTTTACTGAGTAATAACAATTCACATTCATATCATCTACTTTATATACTTCCTTCCTGTTTTACATAGATACGAGTTATGCTCTAAGGATATTTTGTTTTGAATTCATCAACAGGTGAGAAGATCAAAGACCACATGAAGAATATTGTTCCTATATTGCTGGACCAGGCTGTCGAAAATCAGGACAAACTCCGTGTGATTTTGCTTTATATTTTAGCCAAGAATGGTGTTTCAAATGAAAACTTAGAAAAGTTACTCCAGCATGCTCAAATTCCTGCCACAGAGAAAGATACAATCAACAATATGGCACATTTGGGAATTAATGTTATTGTTGATGTAAGTTACTTCTAATGTTTCTGTGGTACGTTTTCAAGTTAGATAACAATTTCTTCTTCTTACTAAAAGATCATTGAAAGATCATCTACTGTACCTTACAAATGATCTACTTATATTTCAATGTATACAGCAGTAACCTATCTGATCTACTAACAGGCCTTCTTGTCCCTCTCAATCAACCATTCCTTTCCCCCGCCTATGCCAAAATCCTTATCCCTTCCAAGTGCTATTTAGTCGTAATGGCTTGGTGCTTTCGCATGATAGTTTCCCTTCTCTTCTTCAGCCAGTTAGAGCTAAAGGGTATAGTTGTTATTCATGACTTCCCTGTACAGTATCTATTTATCTTAATTCCGATTTTCACAATGAAAATTACTTTAAAATTTTGGTTGAACTCACTTCTTTGACAATGGGCTGACATTTCCATTCAGAACTCGGTGCCAAAGATCAAACTACAGTAACTTGAGGGTTATTCTGCATATTTTTGCTGCTATTCAATTACACTTTGTCATTGTGATGTCATTAAAAAGCACATTGTAATTTTCTAGGAATTCCCCATCAATAGATCCCCAGTGTTTAATAATTGCACCGGATCTCAGACCTGCACAAACCTACCAGGACAGAACCAGAATCTCTCTCTATGAGGCAAGGGAAGCTTAGGGATCAAAGATCAACCTGTGCATTGATGTGTTTTGTCAGAAAGGTGGTTGGAGTTTAGGAACCTTGTTTGGGTTGTAGCACTGCCACACATGTACTGACCTTCTAGAGGTCATTCTCAGCTGAAATGCATATTATCTAGTGCTCCTCAGCAGCAATGTGATTTTTAATTAATTTTCTAGATTTATCCTTCCCACTTATTCCCTTCCTTCCCACTCTGAAAGTGGGCAACAGCTATGATAATTTTACATACTCTTTGATTGAAATGGTCAAAATAATTATTGAAATTTGAATGCTGCAGGGTGGGAATCGAAGCCGCAAGCCTTATCAGGTAGCACGTAAAGAACGTATCACAGAACAAACCTACCAGATGTCACGATGGACTCCTGTAATAAAAGATATCATGGAAGACATAATTGAAAATAAGCTTGAAGAAAAGCATTTCCCCTTCCTTGCTGGCCGATCAGCTGCTATGCCCAGAGCTGCACCATCCAGGTAGGTAACACTTAAAATTATTATTGTTTTGTAAGAAACCTCTTGTGTATTAAATATTTTTAAATTTGCATATTTTAAGATTATTTTGACAGTGGTATAGAATCGGCCCATCCTGTTTATGGTAGTACTTATAGTAACGATGAGGACCATAGTACATATAGCGACGTACAACACAATTAGAACATAAAAATCGGTACTATTGAATTTGAACAAACCAGAAAAGGTGTTGTATTTATTGCAAAGGCAACCAAGACTAACCTAACCTAACCTTCCTAGGCCAAATACACACTGTCTGAGGCCTAATATAATATATATGTGTGCTATACTAAGACTAGGAATATTCAAGTTTGTTTTTAGCTTAATTTTTTGGGGACTATAAAGTGAATAAATAGTACCAAATTCTGTGTAATTGCTTAGTATGTCAATATTTGTACTATGGTGCACATAGTTAAAACTACTGTCTAAACAGGAGGATGGGTTAGTAGAACTGAACAATCATTTTATTTAAATGTACAGTAGAGAGTACATATATGAATGGAGTAATTTATCCAGACTTATGTAGAAACATTTAGGAGTCATGAATTGTAAAATTTCTGTAATTTTTAACAATTACTGTCTTCTAGTCTATCGATTTCCTAGTATTTTCATTCACATACCATTCATCCTTTCTAGCTAGTTTCTACTAATGCATATTTATAGAGCCTGCTCCTTGATTTTGGTGTCTTCTGATGTGAGGACCACTTTGCATGTTGATAAATAAAATAATGTATGGTACTGAGAAAGTTTTAACTTTTGAAATTTATAGGGATTTATAAACAAAACCGTAATTTCTAGTATATCTGTTTTGAAAAGCAACATAAAATGTAAGCCAAATTAAAGGTGGGTGAACCGAAATACTGTATGTTGTATGACGAAAGTTTTCATCTAAGAGTTAATTAACCATTGATCTCTCTGCTGTTTAATGTGAAGTACTTCCACTCATCATATTGACTTCATTTTTCTTCTGTATCCTTTAATGACTTGATGAGCAAAAATATACTTTACCTGGAGGAATCAAAAGTTAATGCTAGTATATGTTCTTTCTAGTGTTCGCTACAACTGGCATAAAGACAAGAGTGCAACTTCTGTCAAGAATATGCCACGGCTTCTAATATTTGTTGTTGGAGGCATCACGTACTCTGAAATGCGGGCTGCCTATGAGGTTACCAAATCAGGCAAGAACTGGGAGGTCATCATTGGTAAGATATACTCTTTGAACTGTTCTAAAGCCAGATATATTTAAATAAAAAATTACTTCAAAATCTGGGGAAATGGATTTAATGGAATTTTTTTTTTTAGTAGAAATGCAAAATGCTTTTTAATGTACTGTTAAGAAAGTAGAATGGAAGGGCTGGTTGAGGGGAACAAGACTGTAATAATGTGCAATATTTTTATAATCTGTTTCTTTAATTTTGTGTTCAGTATAGGTGGGTTATGATGGGTTTGTACTTAAATGTCCATCAGGGTTATTATGAAGAGATTTCTCTACACTAGTCTCCTGGAAAGGTGAGTGATAAACCTGTAGATGTAGTGCAACAGATGTAGGCCTTCTATTACTCGAGCATTTCCTATGGCTTTTCTTCAAATATATAATTATTTGAGCGTTAAAGCCATGTCATATGGCAAAAGTAGTATGGGATATTTCATGCAAAAAGTAAGAAGAACTTCCTTATCTTGGATAAGAAGGCAAAGTTATTGGAAAAAATTCACTGTGGATGGGGTGAAAAGTAACTGGCACAGGAATATAGATTGGTACTAAAATTTTGTTGTTTGACAAAAAAAAATCAGCGTTGAATGTAATGAAACTATATTTTCTGGGTGAGACCCGGAGGCTCCCCGGAGCTTACTAATCTGATATGCTAATGTTAGACTTTGACATCAGTCATGTGTATGGAGTTCTGTGGGCCTACCAGGGACCACGAGCCAGAACCTGGCCCCCTCAGAGAAGCATGGGGAGCAATGGCCTATAGAAACCCCCTTGTGGTTGGAAGCATTCTATATCTGCCATCGACCAGGTCAGGCACCCAGATAGGTAAGCCTCCCAAAACAAACCCCTATTCTGGTAAAAATATTGCTACCAAAAGCCGAACAAGTGGATAGAACTCGCCTAAAAGAAACGAGCAAACGAGCATGACATCACACGTCGCCACTGAAACTACTTTGAAACACTTTGAAACTACTGAAGGTTTTGGCCTCCACCACCACCTCACTTAGCTTGTTCCAACCATCTTCCACTCTGTGAAAGAAAACTTTCTGATATTTTTTGGCACCTTTGTTTCCTTAGCTTGAATCTGTGTCCTCTTGTTCGTGAAGTTTCTGGTTTCAGGAATTCCTCCTTGTCAGTTTGGCCATTTCCTGTTAGTAATTTGTAAATGGTGATCATATCACCTCTTTTTCTTCTATCTTCTAGTTTGGAATGTTTAACACCTTTAGTCTCTCCTTGTAACTCATGTTTCTCGGTTCTAGAAGTCATTTTGTAGCATGCCATTGCACCTTTTCCAGTTTCTTTATGTGCTGCTTGAGATTTGGGCAACATATAAATGCTGCATATTCCAATTTTGGTCTCACAAAAGTCATGAACAGTTTCTTAAGTATTTCACTATCCATATAATTAAAAGCAAGTCTCAAGTTGGAAAGCGAAGCATATGCTCCTCTCAGTGTTCTTTGTTTTCCTCTGGTGACAGCTTACTATTCAAAACCACCCCAAAGTCTTGTTCTTTATTAGAGTTCGGTAATTCCTTTCCACATAATTTGTGTGTGGTCTGTTTTCTCAGTTTCCACATTCCATAACATGGTATTTATTCACATTGAATTCCATTTGCCACTTAATGCTCAAAGCACTTATTTTATTTAGATCGATTTGAAGGGCATTTCAACTGTCTGCACCTCTAATCTTACCCAGTATCTTACCATCATCCGCAAACATGTTCACATAATTCTGTATTCCTTCTGGTAGATCGTTTATATAGACGACGAACATTACTGATGCAAGCACTGAACCCTGTGGTACTCCGCTAGTAACACTCCTCCTCAAGTCAGATACACCATCTCTGATTACTGCCCTCATCTGTCTGTCAGTTAGAATTATTGTTCATCCTTGTCAGAAGTCTCCCTGTCACCTCTACAGCATGTTCCAGTTTCCAGAACAGCCTCTTGTGTGGAACTCTCAAAAGTTTTTTTTTTCTTTTTTTTTTTTTTAAGGGTCCAGATAGACAGTCAATTCAACCCCCTTTTTTCTGTAGTATCTCGGTGGCTCTTATCATAAAAACTAAGTAGATTTGTTACATGGGATCTTCCTATTTGAGGATAGGTGGATATGAAAGTGGATCCTGCCTTGCCGCAAAAGGCCCTCCCATCTTGAGGTTATCTTGAGATGATTTCGGGGCATTTTAGTGTCCCCGTGACCCGGTCCTCGACCAGGCCTCCACCCCCAGGAAGCAGCCCGTGACAGCTGACTAACACCCAGGTACCTGTTTTACTGGAGGGGACCAAAATCCACAGAGGGTTGAATGGCACTCGAGGGCACTTCTCAGCCTTCCCCTCAATCTCAGAAGTCTGCCTCAAGAGCTGTGCAAAAGTCCTTATCCAAAACCTGAAATAGGAATATGTCCTCTCAAAGGGGGTGGTTGTGAAGGCGAATTCCCTGAAATCCTGGCAGGATCGGAAGACTCGACTGCCTCCATCATTGATGCAGATGGGACTACCCACAGAGAAGAGAGCTACACCCTGAGCTAAATACTGATATGCATCAGAGCTAGAACCAGGGACAGGGGGGAAGATCAAAAGTGGGGCAAATCACACCTGTAGGGAAAGGAAGAGGATGTGTGGACCTAGTTGAGGTGGTCACCAACACCTCCAATTCTGGGCCCCTAAAGTCCATAAAGGCCAACTCTGGGGGTATCCAGCTGAGCAGTGTGCTGCAAATGCCTAACAAAGAAAGTAGCAGCTGCCTGAAAATCTGCCAGTTGGGAAACAGAATTTGTAAGAAGAGATATCCAGAGAGAAAAAACCCTCACAGGACTCATGGTTGTTGGTGTCACAGATTCAATAGGCAGCATAGTGGGGCTGAAAGAATAATGATCATCTGATAGCAAAGATGAGAATCTCAAACTTACACTTGACAAGGGTGGGCTTGACTGGCCGATCCATAACAGACATGCCAAAGACCCCCAGGGGATTCCAAGGGCTTGAGGGAAGGTAACAAAGCAGACACCTCAGACACTGGGACTGTTGGCAGGAATGTCACCATCCGCAGTCAAACAACGAGGCTATGTTGGGTGGTGGTGGTGTGCCATGTAAAGAAGCCTGTGAGCCCCATTGCACCCCAGCACAACCATAGAATGCCTAAGGGCCTAAACAAAGAAATCAAAGATCCTTGATTAGACCAAGGCAAGGCTCTCCACCTATGGCCAGGCTTCTCAGGGGTGATCTCCTGAACATTCCAGGGACTTGACTGTACAAGGGCAGTGTTAGCATGCAGGGAAGAAAACCCTTAGCTCATGCAGCCTGAAATGCAACAAGAGCTATGCCTCCACAACAAGCAGGAATGAAATCATGTACATGAAGCCACTACTAAAATATAGAAACAATACACAAGGCAAATGGCTCCTGCAGGACAACAGAGTCCAAGGATTGCTGGCATCTAGCTTAAAGCAGAGGGGCTTTCGTATTATCTGACGGACTGAAACGCTACTGGCAACTCCACATGCTGCTTCATCAGCAACAGAACTGAGATGGGGGAGTCGGCTGAGGGGCTGGGGTTGGGCAACCGTGTGGTGGTAATCGGTACTAATGAGTTTTGAGCTAGTTTGAGTGAATCTCTTGTTCTGTGTGAATCATTTGTGGAGTTGCTTGGCAGTTTCGAGACCTAGTTTTCTGTGAACCCTACAGTTGTCTGTAAATCTTTGCTGACTTGAGGCTTTTTCCAGTTTGGTGGCAGATTGTCACCCCACTCCCTGTGCCTCTGAAGGGGGGTGCCAGGTTTTGGCTCTGATTTTTAGTAGGTCAAACAGAACTTCTATGGCTGATGTGACCATTTAGTAGGAAACAGTCTCGGCAAGATAGCTTTAGGGAGGCACAGGGGCTCCTCCAATAAGGGGTACTTCATTTCATTCAATGCCGCCTTTTTTTTTTTTAACTACAGTATAAATATTATGGTAAGTAAAGAGGCTGACTTGATTTCTGAACCAGCTGGAACTGAACTTGGCCATATAAGTTCACTAAATATTATAAACTAAAGGTATGATAAAAAAGGGTAAAAATAACTTTAGTAATACGGGTACTAACCAAGGGTCGAGGTATTTTTCCACATACGATCTTGGAATACTGTAATGTATAGTTTTGGTTGGGTTAGAATAGGTATCAGCCTGTACAATCTCCTCAGTTTTGGACAGATACACTTTCTGCATCAGCTGAGTGTCGGCATCACTATTCACATTACTTACATGACAAGCCATAATGGCAGGATGTTATTTTCAGTAAAATTGTCTGCTCAGCACACTAGTCCCTGCTTCTTGGAGGCAAGTATACATTTAAGAGCAGTGGAGTGCAGTTTGAACTGAAAATAATAATGGGAGTTCTGAAAGTGGGAAGGCAATTATATATTACATGTGCATTCTTATTAATGGAATTTTTTTCTTTCAGGGTCAACTCACATCTTGACACCAAAGGAATTCTTAAGTGACCTTCATAATCTTAGCTGAAGCACATGACCCCATGACCCGGCCTCTTCTTGTTCCTCCAAATCCTCCTCTTCTGAATCCCTCTCATCCAGAAAATCTCCACCCCCACCTCCTCCACCTTCCCCATGTTCACCCCGCTCCCCACCCTCCACCGCCACCCCCACTCCTGATCCTTCTCCCATATCCCCGTCAATTCCTATCATTGATCTCATGCTTGCTCTCCTTCCTGTCTGACGCAAAGCTTGTGTGGCACGACAAAAAATATTTCACAGTAAAGAACTTTTTATACTTCAGTAAAGATAATTTTCTAACCCTTCACTTTTGCAAAGGAATTTTACTGAAGGCTTTGAGAGTTCTTTTATGTGACAAAAACAAAAACTTGATAGATTGTCTTTTGAGGCTTGGAAAATTTAAATATATTAATGATTATATAATATTTTAGGAGGTAAACTGTTATAACGTGGATTACCTTTTGGTGGTTGATGTACGAGGTTTATTTTTATTACAATAAGGCGATATAAATTTGATTAGAAGCTTTTTAAAGTACATTTTAGTTGAATATTATGATTTGTATTTTAATTTTAATATGCAGTATAACTCAGATTTTTCACAATATGTCAGATTAATTCAAATTAACAAAGATAAAACATCGTGTCTCAAATCCTTTGCATGTCAATGTTCAATTTTCTGTATTTTAAACATTTAGATACTTCAATCGCTATAGAATAGTGCTAGTTGCGCACCTCTTCTCCCTACATCCTTCACGTGTGTGTCACAGTATGAGCTCTATGTAATACTACTCCCAGGCTTTTAAATAGCTACATTACACACAAATGGAGCTGTACTAAAGTGATACCAGAGGTCAAGTCTGCTTATGTGGTATAATTTGGCTGTGGTGCATCAATAGGTGAGCATTTTACAAGATCTGCAACTCCTTTGGATTATTTTTATGAATCACAGTTGTTATTAGTTATTGCCTACCAAGTTTATGGAAGGATTGCTGTTATTAAATTTGCTTACATCTGAAATTACAAAAGTATGCCATGGAAAATTGTACTCATAAATTTGAAGTCTGACCGTGTGACATTATGAACATTTATTCCGCAATTTTGTTTGCATTGCTTAGCGATGCACCATCAGCGGTCATCATTCATTGTGTGCTGGCAGGTTGGAGCTGCAAAATGATTGTGATGTAAGGAGCCATTTTGAGCCTTAAGGATTTCTAATGGGTTTACAATTTTATCTGTTACCTGAAAAGACCCAGAAACAAAAACAGAGCTCAAAATTACTCAATATATCATGAAATTAATAAATCTCTTGGGACCTGGTTTATCTTGGTGTGTGCTGGGTCATGGTTAATTGCCTAACTGGATTGTTAGGCTTTCCATATGCAATCTTTAGAATTTTCTCACCAACCATATTAGCTGGGCCTGTTCCCTCTATATCAGATTAGTCATGCATGGTCCTCAACTTACTTATCCTGTTTTTATAATCAGAAGATAGTGTTGTTCACCCATCATCATTTGACTCGGAAGACACATGACATGACCGGGTGGTCTATTTTACATTGACTCTAGTTTAAAGATTTAATATTTACATGCATGATACAAATTATTTAAATATAAAAATGCATGAAAGATTGCGATACATTATATGGTTCACACGTGCACATACACGTACGCATCGCATGCGCGCGCACACACACACACACACTACATAAAGTACACACAAAAAACTTTGAGAATGGGATAGCAGAGACATGCAAAATGGCCAGCTTCATCACTAAATTCATTAAATGTAAATTTCATGTAAAAGATAAAACCTAGAGATTATAAATGGGCAATAGATTCATGAAGACAAATACTGGTAAATGCAAAACCCTAAATAAACAGTTTCAGAGTGTGTTCACACAAAGAAGTTTTCACAGCACCACACATACTGCGTACTTTGGTCCTCAAGCACCTGGATGTGTTTAGAAACAATGTAATAAATCTGCTTAGAAATTTGGGCAGAAACAAACTACCCAGTAGTAGGGCCAACTGGAGTTTCACCTTTGGTACTGAGAGAATGTGCTCACAAGCTACCAACCTACTGCAGATTATTTTGCTGACATTTTTATAACTAGGAAAATTTGCAGACATGGAAGAAGATGGATGTGATTCTAATATAAAAATGGTGATGAAGGAGGTCTGTTAAACTACAGAGTAGTATCATTGAGAAGCGTGATAGCCAGATCAACAGAGACGGTAATTAAAACTAATTGGAAGGTCATGCATAATATATTTACTCAGTTTTATAATATGTCCACAGTGAAAGTCCCACACAAGGGACTTTTCTGAAAGATGGAATACTGTGTACAGGAGAGGTAAAAGGCAGACTACTAGCATGGCTGAAAATATTCCTGACAGACAAACAGGAAAGCAGTGATAGAGGCAAAATCTGATAAAAGGAATATTATGAGAATAAAGCTTGTTGTTAGTGCCAGTAATGTTCATTAGCTCATTTGAATCCTCTTCTTGAAGGGATCCAGAGTATTTGAACATGTTTGTGGATGAGGTTAAGCTGCTGGGAAGAATAAGGCACCTAGATGACTCTCCTGCCTTTCATAGTGGCCTGACAATAAGTACATTAAGCAAAACACCATGACAAATGGATTTTAATGTAGATAAATGCCATATAATGGAATGTGGAATAGGTGACCCAAGGCCTCTTATAAATTGTGTTTGAAGATGCTAAAGAACTTGTGCATGGAAACAAATGGTAGGGGTATAGATTTTAGTTAAGAAAACAAAGGTGCCCAAAATAGTTTGCAAATTTTCTTTGGTAAATGGATGGCTAATGAGAGTGGTAAATGGATGAAATAAATTAAGAGAGGGTTGTGTTAGCCAAAACCATCAAAAGCTTTAAAACTACAAAGATTACATAGTGGACAGTGCTAATGTAGCTGTCATCTTTTAGCTACAGTTAGTAATTACATTCATATATACACAAACATGATCTACTGTATATAGTATACATATGTATACATACAGTATACAAATATAACACACACACACAACAATAATTTCATGTATATACAAAATTTGATATACTGTATATTCAGCAAAAATTTTAACATAATAACTAGATGTTTTGTGATAAATCATACTACTGTACTGTCATGAAGCCAATTTTTTTACCATCTTGACCCAACTTGACAAAAAAGGACGCTGTTTACCTCATGTCGGTGTCATCAGCTCGACAACATATCCCATAAATGTATCTTCTTCTCTTGCCTCTGCACTTCTTCCTCGGTGATTCCAATTTGTGCCCATGGCAGTTTGTATTTTTTTTAGACGTTGATCTTCATATCGTTGGTGTAGTCATGTAGGTTAGTTTGTTGAATTTGAAGACCAAGCTTATGATAAGTAGAGTAGAAGTCATTACCAATAGACAGAGGTTATGGTAGGGATTTTATAGGCTGAAGTTGGGATAAATCCTTAGCTAGGTAAATTGTGGTTAACTATAATTTTTATAAAGGTTTCCACTAAAAGCAGTTGTTAAATTTGATTTATTGTTTTGTCAGGTATCAATAAAAGGGGATGGCTTTTTAAAGAATTAATAGACCAGAGAAGCCAATTATGACAATTATTGATATATGTATATTTTTGTTTAAATTATCTTTACTTCCAAACAGGTCTTTTTGTTTTAGAAGTCTCAACAGTTTTCATAGTGGAGAAATTGCTAAGTGGAGTATACAAATATTGGGCTGTCACAGTGAGAAAGCTTTCGTTTATTAACGTAGAATTGCTGCAGTGTTTGTATTAAAAGTTTTCTCTGTATTTACACTTAGGATAATTCACCAATTTATTTAGAAGTCGATTCTTTTACATCTTGAAAAGTAAGTTGTGATCGTTGACATAATATATATATACAGTACAGTATATCAAAACATTCCAGTTGTTACTTAGATTCATCTGATTATGTTGAAGCATTTCATATGAATCTGATCAGTAGGGAAGCTATATTTCAGTGAACTAGTTTATATATATTGAAATGTATTATTGATAAACTTAGGTTTAAGGTGATGCACCCAAGCAAAAGCGGCAGCCAGCAGTGTTGACCTATTGTTTATCTTTTCAAGTATTTTGTTGTACTTAATTAGTGTAAGTTGATCATGTATGAACTTGGCTTCTACAATAGTGGCATCCTGCTGGCAAAACGCTTATATTATGCAATGAATATTTACATGGTTTTAAAATATCATTTATCAGTTATGTAGTGTTAATGCTGGAAGCAATAACAGTAGTTTTGCTGCTTTTATAGCAAGTAGCAATTTTGAGGCGAGTATGACACAGGTTTAGAAAACACAAACGTTGTGCCATTTGTGAGTATGTGGGGATGGGAGGAGGAGGAAGTAATGAGTAATACTGTTGTAACAGAGTAGACGTTAGGTGTTGCAGTGCTATACACTGTAGTAAGTGCTGAGTGTTGATATAGGAAGTTCTCAGGTAGTGACTCGCAAAGCCTACTCCCAAAGTAGTTACCTGGCAAACTCTTGAGCTAGTTAACAGCAAGCTGTGCTGTAGGCAGGCGGTTAAGCCTTACTAGTGAGCCAGTCAGGGCTGGTAGCAAGGATATGGTGGATTACCATTAAATTGCAAACTTGAATCCTGAAGCCTGATAAAATGTTATGGATAAGGATAAGAGTGCTGGGACAAAGACTTGAAATAACCTTGTGGTAGCATGTGTTTCTTTATGATGGCAATGAAGCTGTAAGTTCAGAAAGCTGAGTTTACAGAATGCTTGCATTTTATGCCTTGGTGGTGGGGTTGTATTTTGAGACATTTTCAATTGTTTTACTTAAATTGAAAAATGACCTTGGGCAAATCTGGTGTAACTTTGTTTATAGCTATGGTTGTATCCATGTTTTTTCTAGTCAAAAACAGTTTGTAGAAAAACAATATTTTTAGCAAAGTAATTTAGATGGGTTCGTTATTAATATGAGCAAAACAAGTTAGGAGATGCCAGAATCTTTTGAGAACATTGGTCATTATAAGTAAGCAACAAATGTTGATTGGCTTGAATATACTGTACAGTATTGCTAAAACACTGATTCATGTTGCAAGCACCAAAAATAAGCCATTTTGAAGAAAAAGTTCCTGGGCTGCCACCAACGTTTGGGCTGTATTTGGCCTCTGCCTTATTGTTGGACTGGTTGCCTCGGTTTCAGAAACATGAGTTGCTACTTACAGATTGGATGATTTTAATCCAACTTTTAGTAAGGTTTCAGTATTTAAGGTATGGCATAACTGCCCATGTATAGTTGGCAGTGAATGTACTTAACACACATGTAACCTGCCCAGTAGTGATGATTCCCACCACCTTGGTGTGTTGCACCGTGTTGCTGCCACATAGATGGCCCACATTACTCAACAGTGTTTTAAAGGGGGATGATTTTCATGTATCATGCCCTGCGTATTATGCATTTCTCTAGATTTCTTTCTCTTCAAAATGTTTAAAATATGTGTACTGACATTTGTTACTGCAGTAACCGAGAGAGATCAAAGTCAGTATTTATTAACTGGACTTTATCTACTCTGACTTAAGAAGGGGGAGGCTTCATGAGGCATAATTTGATTCATATTCAACGAATTTTCCCCTTCAAATATAACCTACTAAAAGATTATGTTTTGTTTTAAATTTTTATATGTATATACTGATTTATAGGATTGTTTATTTCTGCGTTGATTGAAACAATTGGTTGTATATATAGTGTAAGGTTTGTTTAAGATTAAACTGTTCTTCATTTTTGACAGGGTTACCAAGCTCATGTTTCCAAAGTTTCCTGTCTGGTTGACTTCTAAGTTTTAAGCTGTTTTACTCTGAGCTATATGCCTGGCAACTGGAAGTACAGTTTGTCAAATTAAGATTTTTTATATAATCAGAAAATAGTATGAAGCACTACTGTAAACACAATACATATATTTATAAATGCTGTCTCCAAATTTAATCTTTCCCACATGTCTTGGTTTGGAGATATAGTTAATCACCCACAATTACAAGTACAGTACTCTGGGGACAGCAATTTGTTGAGCAGGCATATGGCTGGTGCATCCTAGACATTCCTACAGTTCTCCAGCTCCATACTCTGTGTTGTCTTGTCCTGGTGGCTATTATGCCTCAACTTACCAATATATGTCATTAGTCATGAATGTCCTTTCTTTGACCTAAAAATGAATAAAGTTTTAACCGATTCAAAATAAGATAATCTGCATAAACCAAAGTGGCCTCCTCTACATGTGAAGTATTCAGTGGCTTACTAGTTGGTTTCACTACTAGTTATCTTGAGATGATTTCTGGGCTTAACATCCCCATGACCCGGTCCTCGACCAGGCTTCCTTTTTGTTACACCCCCCCATCCCCAGGAAGCAGCCCGTAGCAGCTGTAACTCCCAGGTACCTATTTACTGCTAGGTAACAGGGTGAAAGAAACATTTTGCCCATTTGTCTCCACCTCCACCGGGGATCGAACCCGGAACCTTAGGACTACAAATCCAAAGCGCTGTCCACTCAGCTGCCAGGAGCCTTATTTATTTACACTAGGTTTATGACTGAATTTTTTTTCAAGATTCACTTTCAAAAGTGAATATCCCATGATAAATTTTAAATACTTAGGATCTAAAGGTTTACCATGTGAAAGTACTAGTCAGAATTAACAGGCTTTCTATTAAACTGCATCTCTTTCGAAGCATTTGAAGCACATTGACATTATTGATAAACATGAAATGGAACAAAGCCTAATTTTCCTTATTTTTTTTAATTTAATATTTTTAATGTTTGACCCTAATCTATATACAGGTACAGTATAATTATTTAAAATTAAAGGAAACAGATTTATGCTTATTTCTCCCAGAACATTTTATTTTGACTAGATTCACAATAGTTCAGTTTACCATAGTAATCCTCCAAGCATTTGCTGAAGTGTAAATAATATGAAGGCTCCAATAAAATGTAAATAAATATTAGTAGGATTACTACTGTTGTTTACTACTGTATTTATAAATTTAAAGCTAAAGAAAACGGAACAAATTAATTTGGTAAGAGGAATTGACAAAAAATGGACATTATGAACTATATTCCTTATTTCCCGTGATTCAGGATGGTATACAAAACATAATTACACTATTAGGATTTGGTGGTAGTTTTAAATTTTGTGTTGTGACTTTTTAACCAAAATTGTTAATCTGTGATTTCCTGCTTCACAGCTAGGTGATGGCCATCCTTCAACTTTGTTGTCCTGCAGGGGCCATTTGCTTTACATATTGTTTCCATATTTTAGTATGGCTTTTTGTGTGTTATTCCAGCTTGTTGTGTAGGCTTGGCTCGATGCATAGGCTGTTTTCTTCCCTAGGTGCCTGCTAATGCTACCCCATGCATTAAAACAGGTGCTACATAAGTCTTTCTAGCTTCTTTTGATAATTACTTAAAATTATATACATATTTTATCATTCATGAAGGCTATTATAGGAAAATAATCTTCATACAAGTATTTTTATTTGGGAAGAAAGTATTTATAAATATGAAATGGAACTATTAACATACAGGTAATTAATGTTTTCCATGCAAGATTTTCTTGCTTCTTAATCCATCCCAACTCCAAGTCCCAAACACTAAACTGCAAATTAAGGCATGTAGGTATATGCAAACATTTTATGAAATGCAAGCTATCACAAATGACCAGATCTGTTATACAGTATATAATTTTTTGAAATTATTAACCAGTGCACAGAATACCAATAGTAATATGTTATTTGATAATGTAGTCAGTGCCCATATGTGGGCCAAGGCCTATATATAATTTTTTTTTTTAAGGTAACCCAGCTAACATTCACTATTTCCCTTAACCCTTGTGTTGCTCAGGGCTAATTAGCATGTCACCCACAGGTACATACCAAAAAAAAAAAAATTCTTTTAAACCTGTTAATTTGTGTTCTCTGATCATGGGAAAAATAATAAAAAATAGTAAGTGCCCGCTATAGAGCGGGGAAGTCTGGCAAAAAAAAAAACAGGCGCTGACTCGGCATGGGTTCCAGAGGGTCTATGCTCCCAGCTGTCAGGCAGGAGTGGCCACAGAGATAATTACCTAATTATTTCAATGTCTCCGATTGATTTTTTTGTAGTTTTTTTGCTGTAATAATATTCAATAGTGCGTAGTGTGATATATAATAAAATGAGTGAATCATCGCTGTACTCAAAATTATGGTGTGCATATTGTTGATTCAATTTTTCTGTTCATCAAACAAATACTTTGTTGGTTATTACACTATATACACTGGTTATACATAAGTATCTGCATGTTTTGTTCACCATAACGAACCATTAAATTGGTATTATGAGTCAAAAAGCAACGAGGAGTGACCGCCACACACCAGCCAGCCACTCTCTGCCACTCACTCCCTCAACACCTCACTCGCCCACATTCTCCTCCCACCATACTGTTTTTGCTTTTATTCACTATATACAGACGTTATATATAAGTATCTACATTAGTGTTCACCATAACTGGTACAACTGGTTAGAAATACTAAGAGATAAGGAAAGCAAAAAGAAACTATGAAGTTCGCATAGCAGAGCAAGCGGAGACAAATCCTAAAGGCTTTTTCCAGTTATACTGGACAACGATTAGGGAAAGGATATAATGGGTATATATATTGGGTATAATTATGGTGGGTGGGGAAGTAGTTACTGCAGAAAAAACTTTGGGGAAGGCCTCTGAAATGCATTCTGACTTTTCTAATACAGTACTGTACATTAAATACAAACATCTTCAAAGATCAAAGCCTTGTGTGTTTGAGGTGCAAGATGTATAATAAAACATTAAAGTGAAAAAAGTCGACTTTCTTTATGAAGAAACTAACGTTTATTGAGAAAATTTAACACTTATAAGAAATACTGTATTAATTAATTTCAATTAATTATCATCTTTTTGCCTTTATATAATTCCTGCATGAAACTAATGAAGCATTTGTTAAAATAAAACTTTAAAAAATATAAAAATATTTCATTATTTTGATATTTTATTTACAAATTACATTTACTCATGGTCATTGGCACATCTTGGCTCATTTATTAATTCTTAAGGAACGTGCTTTAACATTCTTACATTTAATATTGTCTTATCATTTAAGCTTTGCCAGTAGCTTGTGTGCTGTACCCTGATTACGTGGCAAAGTTGGCAGTGCCAGGTCTAAACAAATTCCAGTAATAATGGTAACAAGTCCTAGTATCCCCCTTACCTTCATAGCTTAAGTTATGTAGCCATAAAAACATTCTCTAGTTTTCAATTCTTTATGCTAAAGGTCATTTTTCTAAAGATTTGGAGCAATGTAATTGAGGAACTTGATAGCAACTTCATATCCTAAGAAACAAGCAGCATTGGCAGGGAAGGCTCGGATCATCACTGGAGCAGCTCCCTTGAACAGTGCGCGTGGACCTTCTGTACGCATGATTTCTACAAACACGCTGCGGATTCCATTTGGATAAGTACCCTCAGGAGCTGGAAAAACATTAAAAGTTAATTACATTTACAGTACAGTACTAGTTATAATATGGCAAGATAAATATAGGAGTACTGTTTTTGGTCATATGGGAGGTACATTATCAATAGTCTCTTGGGCATTTCATAAACTTGCTGTAATGTTTTGCTATCGTCTCGTCATGCATGGATGGCGATAATAATATCTATGGCCTCCGTTCCAAAAAAATCAAAATCAAAAACATCATAATTTTTTTTTTGTTTACTTTTGTTGTAAATAAACAGTTTCTAAAGGCAAAGGGAGAACTAAGGGTTGGGGTGTGTTGATAAAAAAAGGAAAAGGTATGGATTAGACAGAGAAAGTATTGGTACAAAGAATATGAAAGTATTAAAAAAAGGGATGCAGTGAACAGGAAATCAAGGGAAATCAAGAGAATATGAAATGAGAGATAAACAAGAAATAAGGAGCTGCCCGTTCCTTTTTCCCAATGATGTAATAGTGTACCAATGTACTTACCAGTCTGTAGCCGGCTCTTGAGAACATCTGGCCCAATAGCCACGAGCCAGTTGAACATGCCAGCAAATCCACCAGCAACAACTGTCCGAATGGGACTCAGCTCCCCTTCTTTACCTTCGGGTGCCAAAGCTCGCTTCAGCCACTCGTATGTCATGAAATACATACCAGATGCTGGTACATCTGAAATCAATTTTTCTTTTAGTAAATGTAACAACCCATAAGAATTCATACCGACATTTAAATTTCTTTTAACTTCATGGTTATTGAGTTAAGAGCAGATTATACACAATTGAGTGACAGTATATAGGGTAGTTATAATTACTATGACTATTGCTAGAAGTATTCCTAATGGTAACAGTCGCAGAGAATGTTTTTGAGAATTTTTTAATGAAGATATATCCCCTAGGCTGACAATCTTGGGAAGCTGCTAAAAGTTCTTAAAACGTTATTTGCACATCTATTGACAACTGAAAAACATCCATTAGTAAAGCTACAGTAATGGTAAAGAATAGTTCAACACCTTGTACAATTTTGTTAAAATATATACATACAGGGGTACCTCGGTTTAAGAGTTTAATCCGTTCCTGGAGACGGTTTGATACATGTTTGACCGACCTAGCGCGTGGTGGCACGGTGACCGCGCCTCAGTTTACCAGTGCCTCCCGCCTAGTGACAATCGTTCTCGAATTCTTTTTAAGCATTTAACTGATTTAACTGTTTTATATATGGTTTCCGTTTTTATATACCGGTATTCGTTTCTTCCATGATGTAGGAGCTGGAACTTATTTTCAATAAACATCGTATTATCCGTGGCCCATTGAAAGACCCGATTTACATAATATTGCACGTTTGCTGTGTCCTCTATATTGTCAACTCGCATGAAAATCCTAGTGTCATCTGCAAATGATGATACAGTACAGTACAGTACAGTACTGTGGTTTGTATTTTTGTCTATTTCTGATATTAGGATGAGAAAAAGAACCAGAAGAAGTACGGTTCCTTGGGGGATTGAGCTTTTCACAGTAGATGAATTGAATTCTACTGTGTTGACTGGATTGTACACACTGCATTCTGTTCGTTAGGAAGTTGAAGATCCATCTCCCTAGTTTGCCAGTAATTCCTTTTGCACACATTTTGTGCACAATAACACCATGGTCACTTTTGTCAAAATCTGTGTATGTTACATCTGCATTTTGCTCGTCTTCCATGGCACCTAAGGCCATGTCATAGTGATCTAGCAACTGTGAGAGGCAGGAGCACCCTGCTCTGAACCTGTGTTGTCTGGGGTTATGTAGCTGCTGTGATTTCATATGATTTGTAAACTTAATTCTTGGCACTCTTTCAAAGATTTTTATGATGTGTGAAGTTAGTGCTATTGATCTATAATTTTTAGCTTCTACTTTACTATCTCCTTTGTGAAGTGCACGATCTTTGCTTTAAATATATCAGAGGTCCAACAGGCTGTTGCTTGGAGAGGCCCGCAGGCCGACATATCCACTACAACCCGGTTAGAACTTCACTTCTTGTAGGAGCCTGTCTAATTATTTCTAAAGAAGCTCACCATTGTTCCAGCAATATTTATTATGCTTGCTGAGAGGGTACTGAATAGCCATGGATCTCAGTTGTTCATACAGTGTTCACTTATAGTGCCTATGGCACTTCTACTCTTCACTGATTCTATCCTGCATTTCTTTCCATATCATTCACTCAAGTATGTTGTTACTTTACTGTGCAAATTTGGGACCTGGTCTTCCAGTATCTTCCAAGTACTGTATATAATATTTGATACCTTTCTCATTTCCTTTCTAGAGTACATTTTGAGAACTTTGAGAAGGTCCCAATAATTTAGGTACTCTATCATGTCCATGCATTTTGTATATATTCTCTGTATTCCCTCTATTTCAGAAATCTCTCCTGCTCATCAAAGTGCTGATGAGTACTAATCAGCACTCAAGGTGGGACAGCACCAATGATATAAATACCTGTAGGAAGAACACTGGTGGATTTTTTTTCCACGTGATCAGGGAACACTCGGGGAACAGAACAGTAAAAAAAAAAAATCTCATTTTATTTTTTCTTGTGCACAGAGAGATTGACAGGGAAATTTGAGTACAGAGCCCAGGAATTAAGCACATGCACAGGATTTACATGGTAGAGATCACAAAACTCCTGTGCCTCTCTCACTAGGTAACAGTCCTTCTCAGACTATTCATATATGATGAGCCTAACATGGTATGCCTTCTGTAATCCTAACACGGTCACTTCTTGCTCAACTTAAATGATAGGCAATATACACTAATCCGTCCATAATAAAATAAAGTTGAAGTATATTTCATTACACATTCATTATTTTAAGGCTTAATGTTTCACATATAACCAATTTTTTTTACAACTATAATGTACATTACCTCGTAGAAGTGTGGCACAGGTGCCTTTATATATACTACGAATCCCACCCTCTTTGTACAGCACTTTGACTACATCAAGGGGACCCTTGTAAACCTGTGGTCCTGTATTGGCCGCTTGAACCTGAAAAAGCAGACAGGTCAAAGAAAATACAAAATGTATTAATAGTTCATTGTGTCTAGGGGCAGGCAGCCAGTGTATATATACATGTTAGACTTGTATTGTGGTTCCCACATGGTCGAATTATCGACCTTCCCCAGGCTGCAACCCCACTACAAGCTGACTAATTCCTAGATACCGCCCAACCCAACTATATGGACTGGACAGTAGAATGACAGTCTCACTTCATGCAGATCGGCATTTAATGCCCGACCATCCAAGTGGTTGGCCATCATTCCTTTCCCCCATCCCATCCCAAATCCTTATCCCTGATCCCTTCCGAGTGCTATATAGTCAGGGTAGCTTTGCACTTTCTCCTGATAACATCCTTCCTCTTCCTGGTTACCTATTTAGTGCTAGGTGAGCCGGAGCATTACGTGATAAGAAGTGCACCCAACTATTTTTTTCCCACCCGTGATTCAAACCTAGAATTCTCAATTGTGAGTCAAGAATGAACCCAACTGTACTACTGGTATACTACCAGTTATAAGCAGGTGGCTTCCCCATCCCTTACTTCCCACATACTTTCCACATATACTTTATGTGCCATGTGATTCAAGCACTACAGTCCAGAGTCAAAACTACAACAGCTTATCACACCTGTTTGATACGTATTTCAAATTTAGACCAACTTTATCAAAATATTGACCATCCATACATTCACCTGTTACCATTTGGTAACACCCCCAAAACATATTGTATCTGTTGCCAGAGTATTAGTACTTAAACCTTTTTTATTACAATGAATTTTCTAACCCTTACATTGCTCCCATCATAATGTGGTGGTGGTTTAGAGGACTGCTGCCATCATTACATAATGGCTTACATTTTGTGCCTAATGTCTGAATAACAATTTTGCCCATATGGTTTCAAAAGCTCAAATAGTATTTTCCAGTAGTCATGAGAGATCAAAATATACTTTGGAGACAGATGTCCTTCAGCTGCTGGACTTCCGTCTTCGTGTAGCAAAGATTGACTCGATATATGATTAAACAATTTTTAGATTCTTTCTTTTGCATACAGAAAGGTACACCTTTCTGTATGCACATATATGCATATTGGTATATGCACCTTGTGCTTGAATAAATTTAACATGAAAAATAAATAAATGATAAATTTTTGCTTAGTCCTGGCACTAATTGTTATCATGTGATGCTGACCTATGCCACGGCTAAGGTCAGGTGGAAAAACTATGTTTATGTTTTTGTATTTTTTATACAGGTCTATCTGTATGCAAAAGATAACTGTATTAACATTAAAAGAATGTTATTTTCCTGAAACTATTGGTAAGAACTTGAATAGATACTGTAATATAAGTATGGGTTAGCTGCATTATAAGTGTTGGTTTATTAATAAGTAGCCCGAGCTTCGTGCTGTATTTTTTAACAGCAGTCATAACGGACTGGGGTTGACGCTACATCATGTACTGTACACAAGATAACATGGAACCTTGGCAGAACCAGACACAATGTGATGGGTGCTACTGAAAAATATATCCACCTAGCCAGTATAATTCTTCTCAGCATTCAGTTGTATTTAAGTCATTCTAATAATGCACATTTTTCACATTATCTCATATGAACATGGAAAATACTTTAAAGCCAGATCCCTAATCTGCAATAGTGAGAGAGATATAGTTACAGTAAGACATATCTATTGCTGGAATTAGACATTTATAGTTGTCATAAGCATAATTAGAGAACGCCGTCTCAGCAACAGAAGTCCAAGACTCTTCAACTTATTACCAGCACATATTGGAGATACTGTTGAAACAATCTTGAATCAAATACTTAATATGTTCTTAAAGGGATGATACACTACAGTGGGGCTTCAATTATCCAGGTCCTTGGTTTAACAAGAAATTAAAATAATTGATTTCCTATATAAATAGAACAACCTTCCAGTTATCTGCCTATTGGGAGGTACTCGTCAACTTTCAGATAATACAAGTCTCACTTTACTTCCATAGCAGCCAGGTTCTGTTGGCTATGTAGGAACTCACCTGTAACAGGCACTTGACTCTTTCTCCAGGTGTCATGATGGCTGTCGTGAACACTCCTGACAGCATTCCAGCATTGAAGAGTTGAACTGCTGACAGTTTTTCATCAGGTGTTTTCTGCTGTAGCTTTTTGCCAATCCCAAAACCCAAGAAGCAAACTGCAAACATCGGTGTAACTCCCACCAACGGAGCAGCCATACCTGATAATGTTCGAAGTATTGCATGAACTGCAGTGTTATAACAAGTACGGTGGTATGTACACTAGTGGTGTAACTAGACATTTCTGCACTAGAGACATTTCAAAATTGTGCTGCCACTTTATTCAATTAAAGAATGCAATCCTGTAATTTGAATTGTATTTGTACATCTGTAGTTTATGTGGTTGGTGTTGGATTCCATGACAACTTTTAGACTAAACAATCAACAGCTTTATCATTGATTAAATAGAAACAATTCTAAAGTTATTACATAAACAGCCATAATTAAAGAGCTTGCAATTGGATATTTAACAGATAAAAGTTAAAGTGGTTAAGTGCTGCTAATGTAATATTACTCTGACATTAAATACTGTACTGTAATATTTTTTGTGGCTGGGAGGGTAAAAAATCTTTTATTCCATTATTTTGACTTGTAGGAGATTGATCTTGAGCTGATAAATGTGTGTAACTAGTGAGCCTATTTAGTCTGTTAGACAAGCTGAGGATTGTTGTGATTGTGGAGTATTATTATAATTTATAGAGCCATATGCAGACGAATCATAATAACGTGGCTGAAGATATGATGACCAAACAAACAACAAAAGATGAAGAAACAATGACGTTTCGGTCCGTCCTGGACTATTATCAAGTTGCGTTTAGTCATCACCAAAGAGCCATATTTTATTTATACTGTATTACTGTATGGTTGTAAAAATACAAGCACAGTACTATATTAATGTTGAACAGACTGTACATATTGCAAACATGACCAGTTGCTGAGTATTGAAGATACAGTATTCAGTACACCCTCTGCTAGGGAAGAATTAGTAAGGCAGTGGCATGTCATATATTGCATCTTATTATACAGTTTTGCTAATCTAATGCTATCTCCAGTCTGACATCAATACGGATTATTCTTTTTCTGTGGAAAATGATGTAATATTGATATTGCCCATTAGGATTGTGGTAGAATTTCTGAAGGGTGATCATTTCTATAGATATGCATCTTATCTTACTTGTCATGACAAATCTCAAAAACAGCATGATTACTCTTCATAAGTAGAAGAAGGTTTGGTGGGTTTTATTCTAGTGTAGCTGACTAAGCATTAATCAGCTACAAGGTGTAGCTAAGCATCAGCTAAAGACACTAGGATTTTTATGAGAGTAGACAATATAGAAAACATAGCAAACTTCTAATCAGATGTAAATCAGGTCTTTCAATGGGCTACAGAAAATAATATGGTATTTAATGAAGATAAGTTCCAGCTCTTGCGCTACAGAAAAAATGAAAATACTTTATAAAATCAGAAAACACGTACAAAATGCAGTCAAATCATAACATAGAATGAAAAAGCAATGTAAAGGACTTCGGTGTACTCATGTTGGAAGACCTAACCTTTAAAGAACATAATAAAGTAGCCATCTCAACTGCAAGAAAAATGACAGGTTGGATAACAAAAACTTTTCAAACTAGAGATGCTATACCAATGATGATACTCTTCAAGAAACTAGTGCTCTCTACAGTGGAATACTGTTGCACAACGACAGCCCCTTTCAAAGTTGGAAAAATTGCTGACCTGGAGATTTTGATTATTGCTGCCGGAGGCTGCTAGTTTATTGTGCAACCCATACCCATCCTGTGAGCGGTAGCGCAAAAAGCATTACAGAGGGCACAAAAGATCTTTATTAGACCTCATCTTAGATTATTACAAACAATTTTATCTATCCTTCACACCTTATAGTTACAATGTAAGCTAGTTAGAGAAAGTGTTATTTCAAGAGCTATACATTTACAGTAAGCCCGGAGAGCGTGCAGAGATCCTTTACTGCTAGAATCCACTCAGTAAAACATCTAAACAATTGGGACTGCCTAAAATGCCTAAATCTGTAATAATAGATGTAAATAATAATAAATCTGTAAATAATAGAGGGAATGGTCCCAAACCTGCGCGCACAAATAATACCACACAAGACCAGGAGGCATGGCAGGATGTGCAGAATACCCCCGTTAAAAAGTCGAGGTGCAATAGATACCCTTAGAGAGAACTCTATCAACATCAGAGGCCCCAGGCTGTTCAACACGCTTCCACTACACATAAGGGGGTATAACTGGCCGACCCCTCGCAGTGTTCAAGAGAGAACTCAATAAACACCTCCAAAGGATACCTGATTAACCAGGCTGTGACTCATATGTCAGGCTGAGAACAGCTGCATCCAACAGCCTGGTTGACCAGTCCAGCAACAAGGAGGCCTGGGTGATGACCGGGCCGCGGGGATGCTAAGCCCCGAAACCAACACAAGATAAGGTAACCACAAGGTAAACATCACTAAAATTACAGCTAGAATCATTTGATAATTAAACAATATGAAGCATCATGGAATATAGGTCTACAGTTCAACATTGGTGATAAAGGGGGTAACCAAAACTGAATCAGTGATCAGTTCTTGCTAGTGAACTAAAGCATATTGTTACTGGATATTTCAGGATTACATCACTATTAATGAACATTGTTAGTTTCTGTTAGTTAGGAAGGTTAGTTTCCCCATCAACCTTCACCTCATCAATTCCCAAAATGTCTTATCCTAGACATCATTTAGGATTAATTTATATTATAGACATGGAACATAACCAGAATAGGGTACAAGAGGCCAAAGGATGTTAAACACAGAATAAACAATTGTATTCATGAAACAGAAACAATAAGTAAATTACAAATTACCTTTGTAAAGACCAAAGAAGCTCTCATTTCGAACAGTTTTGAGAGCACAGTCCCAAGTTCCTGAATACAGTGGCTTCTGACCTGGCTGTGGTGCAGGCTGAGTTTGTAACCGAACCTGCAAACCAAGATAAGGTCAGCAATACAGACCTAATTAAGAGTCTCCCAATTAATTAGCAGAGTTAAGAGACAGGCAATACATACTATACATGAAAAGTACATCTAAAGTAAATATTTGAATATCAAAAGTAAACATATTTTGAATTATACAGTACAGTACTATGATTATCTGTTTAAAAACTAAACTAATAAGCCCCAGAAAATTTTATGACCAGACCTCCTCGTTGCTGGACTGGTCAACCAGGCTGTTGGACGCGGCTGCTCGCAGCCTGACGTATGAGTCACTGCCTGGTTAATCGGGTATCCTTTGGAGGGGCTTGTAAAGTTATCTCTTGAAAATTGTGAGGGGTTGGCCAGTTATGCCCCTTATGTGTAGTGGAAGCATGTTGAACAGTCTGGGTCCTCTGATGTTGATAGAGTTCTCTCTAAGGGTACCTATTGCACCTCTGCTTTTCAACACAGGTATTCTACACATCCTGCCATGCCTCCTGGTCTTGTGTGTTGTTATTTCTATGTGCAGGTTTGGGACCAGCTCTTCTACTATTTTCCATGTGTAAATTATTATGTATCTCTCCCCCCTGCACTCAAGAGAATACAGATTTAGGCATTTTTAGACGGTCCCAATAGTTTAGATGTTTTACCGAGTGGATTTTAGCAGTAAAGGATCTCTGCACGCTCTCCAGGTCAGCAATTTCTCCAGCTTTGAAAAGGGGTGTCATTGTGCAACAGTATTCCACTGTAGAAAACACTAGTGTCTTGAAGAGTATCATCATCGGTATAGCATCTCTAGTGAGAAAGGTTAGATAACAAAAACCTGTCATATTTCTTGCAGATGTGATAGCTACTTTATTGTCTTCCTTAAAGGTAAGGTCTTCTGACATGAATACACACAAATCCTTTACATTGCCTTTTGTTTGTTCTACAGTGATATCTTGGCTTACGAATGCCCCTCTTTACAAACTTTTTTCAGGTTATGAGCCCAATTTCTTTGTAAAATTCGAATTGGGTTACAAACTTTGCCTTGGGGAAACGAATTTTGTTGATGCGTGTACGGCCGACCTAGCGTGTGGTGGCAAGGCGATCGCGCCTGAATTCTTTGTAAAGCATTTCATTTTTTTTCGAATTTTTGCCTATTTGAACATAAAGGTTGTTATTATATATCTCACCATGGGTCCCAAGAAAGCCAGTGGTAAGGTTCAATCCTTAAATTGTGGCCTGAATGTGTTTCAGAACTAAACTTTGAGGGGTTTGAGCCTGTAAATGATGTGCCCATTGTTGAGGAAATTGTTACTCTGGGCCGGCAAATGGACTTGGAATTGGATGGTGATGATGTGGAGGAGTTGGTGGAAGAAGATAACGAAGAACTGACCACCGAAGAACTACAAACCCTTCAAAAGGAACAGCAAGAAGACCCAGCTGAGGATTTTTCTCCAGTGGAGGAGGATGAGGCAGTAGCGAATGTCCCTTCCGCAACCATTAAGAAGTGGTGTCAGATGTGGGAAGAGATGCAAACTTTTATTGGAAAGACTCACCCAGAGAAAGCTGTAGTAGGCCGTTGCATTAATCTTTTCAATGACAATGTGATGCCTCACTATAGAGACATCGTGCAAAGAAGGGAAAAACAATCTTCCATGGACAGATTTGTTGTGAGAACATCGAGCAGTGAGCCACAACCAGGACCTAGTGGTATGCAGGCAAAACGTGCCAGAGAATGCACCCGAGAGGTCCTCACTGCCTGATGTTATAATGGAAAGGGACTCCCCTTCCAAACAGTAACACCTCTCCTCCCCCCTCCTCACCATCTTCCATATGCCAAGAGCAGTCATCAGCAATAGTAAGTAATAACTTGAACATAGTTTTGTAGTGTAGATTTTGATGAATTAGGTATAAAATTTAGTTTGAAGTGAGGTTTTTGGGTAGTCATGAACGGATTAATTCATTTCCCATTATTTCTTATGGGGAAATTAGCTTCGGGTTACAAGCTGTCTCCAGGAACAGATTAAACTCTTAAACCGAGGTACCCCTGTATTTGAGTACCCTTGTAAATCAAGCCGTTAAACTCATGGCTCAATAATGAAAAGCACTTTACCCATGACACACAACCGATTACCTTGTAATTTTTCTCAAAACAGCATTTAGAATGATTCGCCCACATACTGCAAATACAAATACAGTACTGTAATTGATAACAGAACCAAAACACCTGGCCTACCCTAGGCTTAGCCATAAACAAATGTAGGGTAATTATCAGGACAAAGTATACAGTAGCTATATATATAAAATTACAATATACAGTATATTTATATTCGGTAAAAATATAGTTTTTGGTTACACAGTATACGTTAAAATTGACAAATGTGTCTTTGGGGTGGGCTGCCATCGGACGAGCACGCTCGAGTTGCTTAACGAGCATCTCAGCTGAAAGTCTCATTTAATCATCTTATGGTAGTGTCCCAATTGTACAAGGTGCTTCCTAAAACAAGATAAAATTCTTCAATGTTCAGCTGTAAAGTAAGTGTATTATAGTTTCATACACCTTCACATTCTGTGCCCCAATTGTCTATGGTCTTCTGTCCATACTTCTTAAGAACAATTTAGGCAGCACAGAAGTTCTAAAATATATTTTAGAACGGAAGGGACCACACTGACTCACTCAATACCCAGCACCAACTGCTTAACTTTCATGACACCATTAAACTATAAATTTCACACTTTCACAAATTTAAATGTCTAAACATCCTAATATTGTATACCCATCAATCACACACAACACGAGATAAAATACTCAGCATCACCTCAGATTCAGACCAATGTTGCCAGAATGGGCTAAAGGTAGAAAATTGGGCTACTTTTGGGAGCTTAGCATTTCTGTTTTTAATCTAGCTATTTGTGACTTTTTGGGCAAATTAAAAAAAATAAGTTGGGCTATTAGTGTTAATCCAATAATTGATTATTTGTGCATCTATAATGTAAACTCTGTAAATCAAAGCCACATCCAACTGCCTGGTTGACCAGACTAACAACCGCAGGAGGCCTGGCTAGAGACTGGGCCCCTGGGGATGTTGATCCTCGGAATCTTTGAAAGAAAAAGTAACCGCAAGACAAGCAGATCAGTGTAGTCTTCACACCGACTTACAAAACTTCACTCTTGGGATATCCGTAAGAATTGTGCATCCTGATCTATTATGGACTATTATGTAATAGCAAAGCTATTACGGGCTATTCATGCCTGTGCCACTTCTGGAGTGGCTTAATCTTTATTTATCAATCAATCAATCAATCAAGCATGCAAAGCTTCATGCTAATTTGGATTTCAGTTCCATTTACCTGCCCCTGCCTCTGGAGAAAGTGGACTTTTGTTATGAATTTTCTACACTTCTGGCCACTAACAGACCAAAAAATGCTATAAACCAGGAAAAGCTTTGAAATGTCCAAGAAATATGCCATACATTTCTAGTGAAAGCTTGCAGAGCTTCTTTCTCACATTCCTAGTAATGCTGAAACTTTCAAAAAGGTAACAACACTTGTTGCTCATCATTTGAACCAACCAGGTCAGTGATAAAATATGAATCTGCAATAAACAATAATGAGGGTGTGAATACAGGCAAAGATCTTTTTTTTTTTCATAGTCTTCAAATGTGAAGAGATTGAAAGACTCTACATCCATTATGCTTCGTGCAGCAAATATTGCTAAGTTATCCTGTTATCACATTTGTTATCATACATGCGGTGAAATATTAATGCAATCATTAAATCATATAGTGTTTCTCTATGTATTCAAATATATTACTCTGAAAACTGTATCTGCCGCTAAACAAAATATTGGGCTACTTTAACTACAAATTCGCTACTTTTAGACCGCCAGCTCGCTACTTTCAGCAATTCGGATCTGGCACCCCTGATTTAGACAGTTTTACGCTCCCACTCGTCTCTTCCACACAGTCTAAACTATTGGTCCACTTCAGAAATTGCTCATGTGGAACGAAATAAGAGAGTGGTATATTTAAGAGGGATTGAATATGAAATGTTTACCGGGAAAGGCGGAAGGGAATAAGGAACAAATATATGGATGAATGGAGTAAGCTATGTAGAGGAGGAAGGAATAAGGAAGCTGCGGAGGAATTGGCTTGACATGCATGATATATAAGGTTCTGAATGATTCCTTATCTCATTTTCTGAAGGCAGTTATTATGGTGTCCAACTTAGCAGAATGCGCTGCTTACGAGTTCGGTGTGATATCAACACTAAAGTTTTTTTTCTCTGCCTGTTTCTTCATGACTTTCATCTTACATTTGGTATCTTGTGGCCAACGGTGGGTGGCGCGTGTACCTGTGAGGGCTGGCGTAACAGTGGATGTTGTGGGGAATGGTACTCCAATAATAATACTACTAAATAATAATAATAATATTATTATTTTCATTAATAATAATAATAATAAAAATAAAAAAAGTCAGCCAGCCGGGGAGTGTGGTGACACTAAGCAACATGGAGGTGGCAGCAATAGTACAAACCTTGATAGTATCCAGAGGGTGGCCAACCACCACCGTGCACGCCCCGGCAAAACCACCTGCCACGAAATCTTTGATGGCAGAAGGGGGTTTGTCCGGCATATCTGTTATATATATGTTATAACAAAACAATATGTGTATCAAGCCCCAGGTCCAGCCTGATCACTCCATAGACTGACACTGAAGCACGTTAGAATGACATCGCCTGCCCGCCTAAGTTGAGAGTGCCAATTACCAATTAATAAAAGTCAGAATCACGCTGACGTCTTGAATCTCACTTTATTACAGCTGATCGTTTAAGGGAGTGTCACGTGACGACACACATGTAACTGAAGGAAATAACTCTCGCAACTTAATTGTTGTTACATTATTAGAATTATAGCCTACTCTACGATGATTGAGTAGGCTATCAACGGCTATCAGTAGAAGGTCAAGAGTACTGCTGTGTCAACACACATCGCAGGTATGTTTATTTCCAGGGAAGTGTGGATGACAGTTTATATGTAATTAGACCTGAACATATCTGTTTTAATGAATGTTTGCCCAACTCTGCTCGTTATATCGCTTAACGTTATATGGTTCAATATGGTTCTTATGTTGATTGTTTCAAGCGTGGGTTGGACATGTTTATGAGTGGGATTGGGTGATTATAAATAGGAGCTGCCTCATATGGGCCAAAAGGTTATAAATTGTTCGCAAATCGACATGGCAATATTATTGGCATCATTGTTTCATTACATAATTTCTGACGAATGTTACTTTTATTGTTTTAATAATTATGCTTCATGCAAATAAGGAGTGTGCACCATTACATTACCAATTTCTCACTATGCATTAGTCACATACAACTTTACTATAACTCAAGTCTGCCTCTGACATAGCAAACCGGCATGTCATCCTGGCAAGAAGGTTGTGTTGTTGGGGGGAGGTACTGCTTCACTGGATGATAGAACATAATAATCAACTCATCGCCTGCATATCAAGGTAACTGCAGAAGGCCTATTGGCCCATACTACTTCTGTTAGATTTAGCTACTCAGAACGAAATATCCATGTAGTGAGACTATAGTGAGACCGTAAATAAATTCGGTTATTCGCGATAAGCGTGTTACTATGATATTTGGGTCAAAGTTTTAAGTGGAGGCAGGGTTACCTCCTTTTATCCCGTTTCATAATAACATAAGAACAAAGGTAACTGCAGAAGGCTTATTGGCCCATACGAGACAGCTCCTATTTATAACCACCCAATCCCACTCATATACCAACATGTCAATACCCACGTTTGAAACAATCGAGGGACCCCACCTCCACCACGTTACGGGGTAATTGGTTCCACAAATCAACAACCCAGTTACCGAACCAATATTTACCCAAGTCTTGGGTTTTGAAATGGTCAAAAGATTGGCAGATGCAGTTTAATGCAGATAAATGTAAAGTTCTGAGGCTAGGTAATGATGATAAATTTGGGACGCGTCTGGGATGCTCCCGGACGCAGGTTCGAATCCTCGTCACGGCCCTTGTGGATTTGTTCTTTTAATGATGATAAAGTTACAAGAGACGAGCTAGATGGTGTTGAGATTGCGAAAGGGATCTGAGTGTTATGATTAGTAACAATTTAAAACCAAAGGATCAATGCATGAATGTTCGACATAAGGCAAATAGGACACTGGGATTTATTAATCGAAGCGTTAGTAACAAGACACCTGGCGTTGTTCTTCAGTTATATCTTGCTCTGGTTAGGCCCCATAAAGATTATGCAGTTCAGTTTTGGTCGCCGTACTATAGAATAGATATAAATTCACTTGAACGTGTAAAGTGTAGGATGACAAAGTTAATTCCCAAAATTAGAAATCTTTCATATGAAGAAAGATTAACAAAGCTTAAATTGCATTCACTGGCAAGGCGAAGAGTTAGGGGTGATATGATAGAGGTTTACAAGTGGTTCTGCAGTTACCTTTGTTCTTATGCCCATTCATCCACTTGTAAACCTCCTGGTGGGGGTGTCTACCCTCCCTGCTGTTCCTGGTGGTGGGGACGTGGCGTGTTTTGCGATGGGCGGCCCTATTCCGGCTGTCGTGCGGCTAAACTCCATAGGATTGGAGTTTACTTGCCGTGCTGGTTACCCGTTGGTGGACTTGAGTGACATGCTTCGCGTCCCGGTGACGAGCCTGTCTTCGTGTGGGAGCGTGTGCCAATCACTCGCCTCCAGCGTAATACCATTTGGATCCCCTGTTTGCGGATATTTGTTGCCGGGGTTCCGGATGAGATGGCATCCCCGGTGGATGGTCTCGACCCTTGGCGGTGGTTGCTCTGGGAGGCGTTTCATGTCCGGTTCCCTAGGAGTTTATTTCCGGACAAGTATGTCTCCTGATTTCCTGACTTCTGTGTTTACTCTTGTCCTGTGTGCCCTTATGGCTGCTTGTTTGCCCTTGTGTAGTTTGTGCACGTGCCTCCCCCTTTTTTTGGGGGGGGGGGCGTAGCAGGTAGTTTGGTGTGAGTTTTTATTCGTGTATTCATTTATTGTACTATTTCTTTGCCCTATGTGTTATATTCATGCTTAAAGTGTTGTGTTTGTTTGTTATATATTGTGATTGTTTGTGTATTTACATGTTGTTCATAATGTTGTGCGTTGTTGTCGGTCCTTCCGGCCGGTGTGATTGTCTTGTTTTGTTTTTTCTTGCTAAATGCTTTATAATGTTACTATGTGTTATTGTTTTCTTTGCCGTGCTTGCCTGTTTGTACATTATTTACTGTTTTGTCTTGATGTGTGTATCTCATGCCTCCTTTGTTACCTACTCCGGTTTTGTTAATTGTTGTGCTGGGCTGTCGGTCCTTCTGGCCGGCGGTTTTTTGTTTGTTGCGTACTGTTTCATTTATTGTTTTATTGTATTTATTGTTTTTCCCTTGCATGCTTGCATGTAAAAAAAAAAAAAACTTGTAAACCTCCATCATGTCACCCCTAACTCTTCGCCTTTCCAGTGAATGCAATTTAAGCTTTGTTAATCTTTCTTCATATGAATGGACATAACAAAGGGGATATTAAAATTATAAACACAAGACAGAACACGAAACAATGGGTATAAATTGGATAAGTTTAGATTTAGGAAAGACTTGGGTAAATACTGGTTCAGTAACAGGGTTGCTGATTTGTGGAACAATTTACTGCGTAACGTGGTGGAAGTGGGGTCCCTCGATTGTTTCAAGCATGGGTTGGACATATATATGAGTGGGATTGGGTGGTTATAAATAGGAGCTGCCTCGTATGGGCCAATAGGCCTTCTGCAGTTACCTTTGTTCTTAAGTCTTTCCTAAATCTAAACTTTCATTTCCTAAATGACATGTATGCTCGGGATGGGGTGTATCTATCTAGGGCTGGGGTTGTTGCGAACTTGTTGGAACATGTGGTTGGAGGAGTTTGAGTTTAAAATGTTAGATAGTGGTATGGGAATTGTCATGGAGAAAGGAGGTAATAAAAGTGTGTTTGTGGGGGGAAACAAATTTGCAAAATGATCAGGGAAAGAGAAGGGCCTCAAAATAACGATACACTTAGGATATATTAAACGAACAGTAGAGGTCTAAGGAACAAAATAAACGATTTAAATGCTCTTGTCTGCACAGAAAAAAAGGAGATATTATTGCACTTACCAAAATGTGGATGAATGTAGAAAATAAGAGAACTATTAGCTGAATATCAAATAAATGCATTTTAAACTATTTTACACAGATAGATATATTAGACGAGGAGGGGGAGTAGCCATGTATGTCAGGGAAAATTTTAAATATAGTCTCAAAGAGGGAATCAAAACTGAGCGACACACACATACTATTTGGCTAGAATTAAATGAAAAATCAAATAATCTTATAATAGGAGTTTATACAGGCCACCTAACTTAGAATCGAAGCAAAGCATCTATGGGATGAAATATCTAGAGCATTTAAGTCCAACAGTATTTGTGTCATGGGTGACTTTAATTTTAGTGGAATAAACTGGTTTAACAAAACAGGGAATAATGAAGCAGAAGCTTTTCTATTAATAATTGACGATTGCTTTCTTACACAATACGTTAAGAATGCAACGTGAGAAAATAATATTTTAGATTTAGTGTTAACTAACAGGGAAACAAATAATTGACATTCAAATAGGGAGTGAGCTAGGGAAGTGATCACAAAGAAATCAGATTTAGCATAGAATGGAATAGATTTGTAGGGGAAAATTCTGTTAAAGTGCTAGATTTTTGAAAAGCTGATTTTAATAGCCTAAGAATTTTTTTTGGGGTCAAATAGACTGGAAAGTCCTGGGAGTTTAACTTTTAATCTGATATACTGAAATAAAACTGTGAATGGGACATTTAAATACGCAGTTAAACCAATGCATTGATGCAATTTGTTTTGAATAATATACAGGGCATGGCAATGATTGAGAACAAATGTTGACAGCTGCTGACATCACCCATGTGAACCAGAGACTATGTGGGAGAACACATGCATCAGTCAGGGCATTTAAGTTGCCAAGTGTATTTACCTGTGGGGAGAAGAACTTCATCTGGGAGTTCTTTCCTGCCATAATTTAAAGTTCGTTTCCACGATTTATCTCGTATGCAGTAATTTACTCGTGCTTAATTAATGTTAAATTCGGCTGATCCATTGGTAAGCCCTCAGGTAAATCAGGTTTTACCTGATAACAGCATTCACAATTTTTAATTACCTTGATGGTATCGAGAGGGTGTCCAGCAGCCACTAGGCACATGCCTCCGAACCCTCCTGCTAGGAAATCCTTGGCTGGACTGACGGGTGCCATTATAAACTAGCCAAACACACACGGAGTTATCACAGTAAACACAAGATCCTCCCGGCGACTATGTTACCAGATCCCAGTGGCTCCCACTACATCTTACATAACAACCGCTTCACTCTCTCTCTCTTTCCTATATCATATTAATCTGTAAATTACACTAAAATTAAATATATAAGAATCATGTATTTTTGCCGATTCAGCGTTTGTTTGCTGTTAATAGCAAGTAATTTTTTATTGTTTGATGAAGACCTAACGTACGGGTTGGCAACACTAGATACAGCTGATCGCCAACTATAGAGATAAATTTTATGCTTCAGTAGTACTTGTAGTAGTATTGTACTAATATTACCACAATATATATATTAAATAATAATAATTAATTTATGTTTTAATTGGGTA